AGGGTTTTGCCCCACTTGCAGCAGCCTGAAACAAATTCCAATGCCAAGGTCGATGTAACACCTACAAACCTTCCTCTCCATCCTCCAAAACAAAAAAAAAAAATTAAAAACCAACCTGCACTAGAAAGGCAGCCCAGGGAGCTGTTCAGCTGATGCTGCAAGTGACAGCCAAGTCCAAGGGACAATCAAATTTTGGATTATGATGGGGAAGAAGAACCGCACACGCACGAGCACAAATCGTAAATAAAATGGGAATAAATCCCATGGAGACGGTGACAGCAGCCCACAAACAAATTGCCTTTTACAAGTAAATAGCATTACASCAGGGTTTATGGGCCTCRCTGAGATGGGCAYGGGGAGTTCTGTGGTGGCAGCCATYGGGCAAAAGGCAAATCCGTGWGGAATTTATTAATATAAATAAATAATAAATAAATARTAAATAATAAATAAAGAAATAATGAAGAAATAATAATAAAGAAAAAAATCATTGTGCCTCAGTTTCCTCCCAAGCTCCACGAACAGAGGATGCTGGAGAGTGTTTAAMACCACCAAGCATCTAATTCATGAGGATGTTTAAGAGCCTTAAAGATTTCTGAAGCCATAGGAAGGCATTAATTTAAATATCCAGTAGCACAGAACATAATGCCAGGCAGATTTCCTTCCATTCTTTCACAAGAGCTTAATAATCCTCAAAATAGTTTCTTTGTTAATGCTCCTGTTGTGTATTTTATTAGGGCTTTTTAAACTGTAAAGTAAGGTAAACATTCCACATTTCTCTAACACCTACCAGAGAGCTYCTCAAGAAGAATTATTTCATCTTCACAAACACCCGAGCCAGAGGAGGGGGGACCAGTCCTATTCCCAATTGATGAAAAAACGGCTTTTTTTCCATTTTTTTTTCTTTCATCCAGGATGCTCCGAGCAGCAAAACGCAGCTCCTCCCCCGGATTTCATCACCAGTCATTGTCTCCTCTCAGCACAGATCCGCYGATTATCGCCAACAAAAGGAGCAGCAGCTCCCCGTGGCTCTGCGGGGATGCACCGTGCTGGCAGAGCAAGGAGATCGTTTATTTATTGCCATTTTTTTGTTGCAATTTATAAATAAATAATAAATAAAAAAAGTTATTTCTTAATTGCAATAAAAATTGTGATTTGTTTATTTTTTAAACCATGGAAACCCCTGTTAAAAGCTGTCCAGACCCAAGGAGAGCACGGTGCAGGTGCTCTTCTCCTCCTCCTGAACCTGAACCCAAGAATTTGTGCATCATGAAAGTTTGGAAATCCTTAATTTATGAACCTTAATCCAAGACAGGAATTTCACACACAGATTTTGTGGTCTGCTCCAAGCTGAGAGCTGCTCATCCAACCACACCCTGGGGATGCACGGGGATGATGCTCCCCTTCTTTCCCACCCTGTGCATCCCTGGTGGAGTCCACAGAGTTCTGGCATTTGACACTGCATTCGTGATCACCAGCTCAAAAATGCAGTATGGACCCACAGAATCATGGAATCTCTTGAGCTGGAAGGAATCCCCAAAAATCACCGAGTTCAACCCCAAAAATCCCATCCTGTGCATCTCTGGGGTACGGTTCCTTCTGCTCTTATTGTGCCATGGCACTCGTGATCACCAGCTCAAAAATGCAGGATGGAACCACAGAATTGTGGAAACTCCTGAGCTGGAAGGGATCCCCAAAAATCACCGAGTTCAACCCCAAAAATCCCACCCTGTGAATCTCTGGGGTACGGTTCCTGCTGCTCTGACTGTGCTACTGCACTCGTGATCACCAGCTCAAAAATGCAGGATGGAATCACAGAATTGTGGAATGTCCTGAGCTGGAAGGGATCCCCAAAAATCACCAAATTCAACCACAAAAATCACCAAGTTCAACCCCAAAAATCCCATCCTGTGCATCCTTGGGGAACAACTCTTGCTGCTCTGACCACGCCACTGCACTTGTGATCACCAGCTCAAAAATGCAGGATGGAACCACAGAATTGTGGAATATCCTGAGCTGGAAAGGATCCCCAAAAATCACCGAGTTCAACCCCAAAAATCCCACCCTGTGCATCCCTGAGGTACAGTTCCAGTTCCTGCTGCTCTGACTGTGCTACTGCACTCGTGATCATCACTCAAAAATGCAGGATGGAATCAGAGAATTGAGGAATCTCCTGAGCTGGAGGAGATCCCCAAAATCATGGAGTTCAACCCCAAAAATCCCACCCTGTGCATCCCTGGCAGCGCTGTCCAAACATTCCCGGAGCTCTGGCAGCCTCAGGGCCGAGATCACTTCAGCAGAAGAAGCAGCTTTGTCCTCCCCATGGAGAGAATGGAGATCCATGGAGAACTTTGTGATATAAAGGGAGATGGAGGAACAAGTGCAAATCTGAGTTTAACACCCCACGATGCTTTTTTAGGAGTTTTAAGAGTGGGAGATGTTCAATTTGTAGATAAATCTCAGTTTGAGACAGGAAAAAAAACCCCAAAACCGAACAGGTTTGGCTCTCTTGAGAGAAAAAAAAAGAAAAAAAATAAAAGTTTTCTAAGGTTTAGAGCAAAAACCACCCTCCCCTCCAAGAAAACACACAGGAAGGAAAACGCAGAATCAGCCAGAGCTGCTGATGGAGAGGCCCCAGGGCATAGCCAGTTATTGAAGTTTTGCAACACAAAGCTTAAATTATTTATTATTATCATTTTTTTTTCCCCTAGAAAAAGAGAGGAACAAAGCATCTCCCTCCTCAAAAGTTAACAACGGGCGCGACATCATCTCGGCATTGTCTCCCTTCTTTATCGCCGCCGAGCAGATTCCACCCCGGGGCAGACACCCAACCACAGGGCCACGCTGCCTAATTACACCCTCCATTCTCAGGGAAATGGTTTATTTATTAGCTCTCCCTTTCATTCATCCTCAGCCCCAGCCCCTGCAGCAGAGAGGGGTTCTCAGGACAAGAGGAGATTTATGGGGTTTTCTCCATCCTCCACCTTCTCCCAGCCGGCCTCTTCCCCGCTCGGCGGCACCGGCGGCCTCGGCGCTTTTAATTCAATAACTCACAGGATAATTACTCCGTAATAACACCATTATCTTAACATTTACTCAGCAGCTGTGATCCCGTTATGGCGAGGCGAGGAGGGAGAGGAGAGGGGATTCTCCGGGGAGAGAGATGGGGAGAGACGCCAAAAACGCCTCCGTCGGCGGAGCCAGAGATGCTGTGGGGTGAGTGCTGAGGTTCTGTGCCTTCAATCCTCTCCATTTTCCATCCTTTCCCCAAAATCTGGAAAGTTTTACCCACGCAGGGCTGCTGTGCCTGGGGAAGCTGTTTAAACCCACACAGCTAAACCCTAAAAACATCTGGAACTGGGGAAACGTGAATCCTCCAATTGCAGCTGCAGCCAATGCAGTCAAAAACTCCAACTTGGCTCCCCCCAATTCTCTCTTGTTTCCATCTCTTGGGGCCTGGCCCAGGGAGGTGTCCTTGAGTTTGGGGCTGCAGAGGAATTGTTTTGTGTAAAAATGGGAGAGCAGGAGCTCAGCACTGTCTGTGGAGTCTGGAGTTAAACACTGGAGAATCCCAAAGTTATAGATACACCAATTTAATACAAATATCAACAACCAATACAATATCCCAGCAATCACTCGCTACAAAGTACCAGCTTTAATTTT